GCCTACAAGTTAAGTGCTTTCTGAAATGGATTGGAATTGCAATAGCCAGATGGAGAAAAACCACTGCTCACGCATTATGGAATAAGTGATGATGGCTTTGAAACATGAAGCATTTTCATTTTTGTTTCAGAATGCTACAGTGAGAGTGAACAGGAAGACCCTGAAATAGCTGCGGAGACAGCACCCCCTCCTTCCTTTGCCGAGACTCTGTCTCCTTTGGTATGTACTGACATAATTAATCTGTTGTTCATCCATCAAACACGTGGATGTCATTTCTTCCAGTTGGGTTGAAGCTACCCTGACTCATAAATTTTTAGAACAGGCTAAGTAAGATACTTGCTAAAGAATAAGTGCAATTCTCAGGGTGCTGATTTTCAGCCTTCCCCATAGCAACCCACTGGTATGACAAACTCAGAGTATTGGTGTGTGACCCAGAGATATATCATGCTCAGAGGACCCATGGTAATGCAAAGGGCTGCTGGGTTATAGGTCAATGTTTGTATAGACTTATTTTATAATGTTTATTTATACTCCACTTTTTCTCAAAGAACTGAAATTGCCTTGCCTAGGTGCATGTGCTACAACAATGGAAAATGAATGTACAGGGGATGAAGATAATAGTATAAAGAGAAAATCAGAGTCAGAAAGAGAGCAGCAAGCCAGGAGTGGGGTCAGTGCATTAAGTCTGCACATGGAATGATTCTTTGCATTCACTAGAGAAAAGTCAAAGATAAGTTCTAAGCTTTGGAAGCATCCAATGTAAGTTCAGGTCATTAATGGATGTTAAGACTGAGAAGAGTTGCTTTATATTTGGGTGCTCATTGGCATTATAGTGAAGAAGACTAGCAAAGAACTTTGGGGAAGTTGATTTATAGTTTTTATATCTACTGTGTACCAGGACTTATGTAGGTGCTTTAAATATTTAACCATTTACTCCCCCAAACAATCCTGAGAAGTAGTATTATTTACTCTGCATGTCACCGACTGCTAATGAGGACAAGCATATCTTCTTGTTTACTGGCCCTTTGGATGTTCTGTTTTGCGAGGTGTCTGTTACGTCTTCTGTACACTTCCAGTTGTCTTATTATTTATGAGATCTCTTTATTTATTATTCTATACATTAGTCTTTGCCAGTTAAAAGCGAGGAAAATTTTCTTTCCCATTCCCTGGCTTTTATTTTTTAAGACTGTGTTTTGTGGTTTCTTTTTGTAAACAGATATTCTTGATGTCAATGTGTCGGATTTATCCATCACTTCTCTTGTAGTTAATGCCTTTGTTCTTGGTTTATAGAGTTATTTCCTACCCCCAGATCACGAGGAAGTAGATTTTATCATCATTTCATGGATAAAGAAACCGAGGTTCAGGCAGGTGGAATGGCTTGGTCACATACCCAGTAAATGGAGCCTGAGATGGGAACCCCAAGCTAACTAGCTTTAGAGTACAGTTTCTTTCTACTCGAGCATGACCCTTGCCCATCCATGGACCTAAATAACTATGAGTTCTGACAGGTTAGAGCAACTCTTTCACTTACCAGGTTTCTTCTGCCAGAATTTTCTATTTTTTGTGATAAAGTTTTTGTCTATTTTTGTGTTTTGCCAGTTCCTGGATTTAAAGTGTTGAATATCATTTAAATAATGACCTCTACCGTTTTTACACTCTGTCAATGGAGAATTATGGTCACTTTTCAAATTCATTTTTCTAGCAGCCAAGATCAGAAGTAAATATTTGCTGAATGAATATTTTTATTAAAATCTTTATTAAGTAAGATTAGCCAAAATTAAGCAAGGTATAAGTAAAATGAAATTTTGAATATGGTAAATTTTAGACCAGTTTTTGAACTAGACTTACAATCTATCCTTTTTTCACACACTCATAACTTTTCCTTAATGTAGTCTCCCTCCTCTTCTAAAGCCGATTTCTGAATTTAGAAAAGTCTTTTATTTGTTCTATATCACTCAAACTTAATGATGTCACCAGACCTTAAAGTGTCTCCCAACTTTTAACAATGTTTTTATTGGATTACCCTTTATTGCTCCTAAAGAAGTCGAATATACCTTCAATAGATGTTCCTTCTTGATTTAATAGAGAAGCATATGTTTTTGTTTAATTTCTTTGTCTCTGCTTCTGTGTCTCCCTGTCTCTGTTTCTCCCTCTCCCCTTCCCTCTCTCTCAGTCTGTCCTATTTTAACCTGTAACATACAAGATTTCAGGTGGTTCTCCCTCCTTCTCTTCCCTCTGTCTCCCACTGTGCCACATAATGAGACTCTTTTATGATTTATTTTAGTTCTAAAATGCTGTGATTTTCAGTTTTGTAATGGCAGTCTGGTATCACAGATTACTAATAGCATTGTCAGGTACCTAGGACTACACTTGATGAAAGTAAAATCAACCAAATTGTCCCCTTAGACAAAGGGTCATGGCCCGATTGCATTACACAATAACAGTCTTACCTGATGTTACAGTACAAGCTCAGGGAATGGTGTTTCCAAATAAATAGTTGAAGGGGTGCTTTTGAGAACCAGTGAGTTATACCAGAGAAGTGGGAAGATTCTTTATAACTTCTGAGTCATTAATCAAATGTTATTTCTTAGAGTTCTATGTTGAGCAGTTTTTTTGGAAGGCCAGGGAGACTAACATTTTTTTCTGAAGAAATATATTAGAAATAGATAAATATTGAACAGTTAGATTCTACTTTTCTTAGAAATAGAATATGTTCCTCCTATTTGTGTATTTCCCAGGCAGATTTTGTTTTTGTTTCCTCTTGTTACTGAAAAACAGACATGCAAGGCACTTGGTTAAAATGACATTTAGGCTTTTTATTTAAACAGATGAAAATTTTAAAAAGTCATGGCAACTTTTATTCAGAGTGTGAATCAAGTTGTTGTTTTGGCTCAATCTGGCATTGGTTAGCCATGACTGAGCTATACAAGCCTACATGACAGAAAGTTTTCCCCCTGAAGTTCTTGATTAAAAAAAAAAAGTGCTTTGGGTAATGAACTTCCATTTTGGAATGAAGAACTCAAAAGTACAAAATGAAACTCTTCTGGAAAATTATCGAAAATTTTTTTTAAATCTTAAAAGTTTAATTTAATATTAAATCTTTCTAGTGACTATAGAGTCAGATAAACAGTAAGACTTCAGCATCAGACCGATTTGGACCTGTGCTTTTATGGCTGAACCACATTCTACACTCAGGGTCTCCCCTGAGTGAACAAGAGGTTTTTGTTGATGTTCCTTCTTTTTGAGAAGGCTTCACAGGACGGATAGTAGACAGGTCATCCATTTATTCACAGGGAAATTACAAATGGCAGCTTTTTGACAGGCTTAGTAGAAAACCTCAAAATAGTTGGGAGTCTGTACGTTTCGCTTGGAAGATCACTTGTAGAAATCACTATCCATGATATTTTGAAACTCACAAAAGAGCACAAAAGGAACCAACTTCATTCACATTTTAAACCTGATATTATAAGTTATAAAGTGATTTAAGAGGTATACAGACCATTAAAATTCTGTCCTACATATTTTTCATCTAAATTTAATTTTTAAACATCATTGTCTGAAAATTTGATCTATGCTTATATACTTATTAATTCATTTAA